TTTTTAAAAAAAAATCTCAGAGGAAATTTAAAGCACAAGACATTTCCAGCTCCTCTGGAGAGTTTGTTTCTTTTCCTATAGAGCATCTCTGCACTTTCCCCTACCTGGGGGTGTCTCCAGGGCAGCCTGCCTCCTGCAATGCCTCTGTCGTCCCTTCCAGATCTCCTTTCCTCCAGGGCCCAGGGTGCAGAGGGACCATCTGAAAGCCGACCATCGACCACAACATGACACGCYGAACACACAGCAGCAGGGATAGAGCTCTTTCAAAGGCAGAGAAACCACCACATCCCCTTSGCCTCTCGTCCTTCCAGCTGGTTAGCTTGAAATTCAGCCCTCAGTTGAATATCCCACATGTGGATAACTAAACCCAGGAATACCCCAGGTCCTGGTCCAKCAGGACATGTGTCCTCCATAGGTGCTCTGTAATATCTGCCTGCCTGTGTGGACAGCTCAGATGTTTTAGAGCATCTCAGATGACACCAGACACCTCTATGCGAGTGGCTAAATCAWACCCTGAAGTGTTTTCTGGCTACATTGACACTGCTTTTAAAAGAACTGTCCTCTTCCTGGCTTACTTCCAGGGTGACCTAAGATAGGGGAGTGAATCACATCCTAAAATTGTGTGTATCTCCCCATCAGCTATGTAAGGAGCTTGCAGTGATGAGCCATAAGCTGTGAGATGTCACTCTTAAGTTGCAGATTTCTGCATGAGCTGGAAATGAAATCCATTTTGACACCTTCCTGTTGATAAGATTTCTTTTTATTTATTTACTTATTTATTTATTTTTGTAAAATAGCTACATTAGCTGAGAGTCACCTAGTGGCAAAAGAGCATCATAACAGATTGAGTGAGGAAATCGTTTTTATAATATAAACTCTTGCTTATAWGCATGAGTTCTTCTTTCAAGCATTGTATCTCAGCCAAAGGAGGAAAAAAAWAAAAAAGATGAGAATTACCATATGCACACCCTTTCTCTGAGTCTCCTACATCCCATTGTGTAAAGTTTTCACTTACAGTTTGTTCTTTCAGAGGTCTGTCCTATACCTTGATCTTTAAAGGAAGTCTCCCTGGAGATTTTAASTCTACTTCTCCTTTGTTTTTTTAATTCAAGAGCTGATAGGAGGTAGAGTTGAAGCAGACTTTCACTGCAGATGTTGAAAAAAAACAAACTCAATTTTTTCTTCCAATGCATTAAAGTCAATGTTGGTTGAGTCCCGCAGGACTGGACCAGGTTGGATGTGACGCTGGGTAGCTCTTTGTGTACCTGGCTACTGAACGGTGTGGAATCCACCTGCAATGGATGGGACATTCATCCGCTTGTTTTCCTACCTGGAAACTGTTGTACCCAGAAAAACACTTAGTTAATCCACATGTGCATAAATGGTGCTTTAAGGTTTTGAGACGTCCTGTTTTGAGTAGAGGAGACATTCTAGAGAAACCAGAGGCTTCGTGGCCGCTCCAGGTCCAGCTTATATGACTGTGGCAGCTGAAGTCAAAGTGGAAGTGTGTATTCCTAAGTGCCACCCAGAAAATGTGCCTTTAAAATGCACTGTATCTCTTTTCCAGCATTTTGTACATGAATAATTAAGTAAAAGTTAAAAACCTTTATCAGTCAAAACAGTATTTGTTTCTAAATACAAAGTAGGATTTTTCCTAAAGGAGGGAATATCCTGGCTATCAGGATTTTTCATATATTTTAATTTCATCTTTTTCATGTATTTTCATTTCAGCTTTTCTTAAACACTCTTGATACAACAGTAGTGCCACATCACCACAGAGCTTACCCAAAACCTCATTTTCCCTTCCAATTCTCTATGCACTTTGTCATGAACATAGGATTTAAAGCCAGATCTGCTCTGGCAGGGATTTGAGGAAACCCTTCCCATTTGGTTACCTGCACTTGGAGCTGGTGGCCCTCGCGAAGCAGCGAGTGCTGGTGGAGCTGGAGCTGGAGCTCTGGTCCCTGGTGCTGCTGGTCCCTGCTCTGGTCCCTGRTGCTACTGGCTCTGCCCCGCTGTGCTCCACAGATAAATACAGGCACCAGGCCAGCATTGTTAAAGTGTTTTTTGTTTGTTTGTTTGACCATAGACTCAGTTATTTAGAATGACACCAAAGCAGATGAAAAAGATTCACAGGACAACTAAGCAGCCAGCTGTATGGCAACTCTATAACAAATGTCTACAACTTATTCCTCAATGCATATGTGGGTTTTTCCTCAGAGTTTTGTCAATTTAAAGGGAGCTTCTGAAAGTMGTGAAGTCAGTATTCTTTCCGTTTTCCTACATTCTAAGTATATTTTATATATTATGTATTTTAGGTGTCTACCACACAGTCCTGTCTTTTTTCAGAAATCAAGTAATCATGTACTTGCGTTGAATATTAGAACATAGCTCTGTCAGTTGATCACTGGTAAATCTTTCACCATTTCCTGACTTTCTTTTGATTATTATGGTAGATTTAGTTCAGTCAAAYTTAAACAGACAAATTCTTAGCAATATCTTTTGGGTTAACCTTGTAAATAGAACCCTAGAGAAATGGGTACAGATTATTTACATACCATTCCCTACAAGACCAAATATAACATTTACCCTCCTTTAAACCAAGCTGACATTATCCCTCTCATCAGTGTTCATTTACTGTTATCAGTACTTATTCCTGCTCACTTATTCTCTGTTGTCCATGAAATTATTGTGCTAAGAAGGGTAGAAGATGAAGGATGACCAGTAGTCTCTACATCCAGCTCTCAGACTCCTGGGATTACAGCTCTGTTTCAGACTACATAATTTCTCCCACAGTCCAGTAACTTAATAACTAGTGGATTTTTTTTTGTTTTGATTTTTCTATTTTTCTCTAATTGTAAGCTCTGCCAGGGGATATAGTCACAAATCCATTGTTCCTCTCCATGATCTAAACTGAACAACAGAAGATGGCTCTCAACATGCCAGGTGTAATATCTCTGAGTGTGTTTTACACCTTAACTTTAGCTACTGGAGTTTGGGCTTCTTGGAGGAGCAAAAAAGATCWGAAGAACAGAAACCCCACTGAAATGGCCATAGTTGGAGGCAGGAATATAAATGTTTTCATTGGCTTGTTTACTGCTACTGGTAAGTTTTCTTAAAGGAATTATTTATTTCTTCTTAAAATACATACATGACATGTAGTTGGGGGGCTTTGTTTTTCCCTKTCAAAGCAAGTTGTCTTCCTTAATGTCCAGAGGAATTTAAGCTGAGCATGGCTTTAAAGGGATATGGTTTTGAGAATCATTTGGGGATGGATTTTTTTGAACCTCTTTTCACTGTGCAGAACCTGATATTTATGTAGATACTTTTAAATTAAAGTGTGTGGCCTGAAGAATGCGATACTTCTCATGAGGGAGGCGTGTGGTCTTCATCTTAGACCAGTTTCTGTTATCCGCTGTAGCAGAAGTGCCCTGCTTGTGGAATAACCCAGTCCTGGGTGGAACAATTTGCTCCCCACAATTTGATCTGGGCTCTTGGCTGGTGGGAGCAGTAAGGAGAGGTTTCCTCACTGCCGGCTGCTCCTCTCTGTCCTCTTCCTCCCCAGCTGCATGACATCAGCTGGAATTTGCTTCCCTGCTTATTTTTTTGGCAAGGGGTGATATTTGTCTAGCTAATATATTTGGTTAAGCCCATGCTTAAGTTTGCTATTCTGACTGCAATGCCTGCTTGCATTTTTTCTTCCCCAAGGTCTGTTGTCTTAGCCTGGGCAGGGCAGACTTGGGGGGATGATCTATCAGCCCCAGCAGAAAACGAGGGCCATTCTGCCTGCCCTAGCAAGCATCTTCCACTGAGACAAATGAATGGGCATTTTCAAATTGCTTTTAAATGCCTAAGCACTAACGAGCTTTCCCATGTGCACGTAGATATCCATTCTTGAACCTAACCTGAATTTAAGGTTAGGTAGGAGTTAGGATGGGATTCTAATATTCTGATATTCTGATATTCTAATATTGTTACCCCCACTCAAAKGTACCTTTCACTATGAGAGAAGATTTATGAAAGCAAACAGGTGTGTGCTTATATATTTGTATGAGCTAAAGGTTTACAAGGTCTCAATGTTACTTATGTGACTAGTTGAGAATATATTATGGCACGTTATACATGCCATAACTCTTACCTCCACATCTTTTCTGTCCACAGCCACCTGGGTTGGAGGGGCGTATATCAAYGG